CTTCGGGGGAGATCCCACTCTGTACAACATTCTATATCTGAAGATCTTCCAGCAACACGTCTCGTATGAAGCTTCCCCGGTCATACTATTCGGCTTTCCTCTCAGTTCCTTAGCAGCACTAGAAGAATATTTGACCAAATTTGGCGATTTTATGGAAATTTGAGGCTATTTTACATACAGCCGAGGCTCCCGACGTTCGGAGGTTTTATGCTTTTCCTAAACTTAAGTTCCAGCATAAAAGAGGAGAGACTCTGGCTGCCCCCGCCGGCTCCTGAGATAGGAAGCACGCCCATCCCCCACCTTGTGATCAAATTCCAGAGGAGAGGGCGATGGGGGAAGGGACTCAGGATCCTCCCAAACAAGGCCGAGTAGTAACCGTGACTCCTTCACCATCTTCCCCAAATACACTCCGCAGAATCCTCCCGAGCCGCCGCAACACCAAAACAACATCTATCCCAGCTCATAGACACCGGCACAAAGCCGGAGAGACCCAGATCAGAGCCGCACACGTGATTGGTAGGTCAATGCTGCTACACGAGTCACACATGCATACACATATGATGGAAGTGAAGACCAACCAGCCACATTGACAATCCCGAGCACCACCAGCCGCGCCAACAATCCCGAGCCCCACCGACCAACCAGCCGCGCCAGCAATCCCGAGCACCACCGGCCAACCCGCCGCGCCAACAATCCCGAGCCCCACCGACCAACCAGCCGCGCCAGCAATCCCGAGCACCACCGGCCAACCCGCCGCGCCAACAATCCCGAGCCCCACCGACCAACCAGCCGCGCCAGCAATCCCGAGCACCACCGGCCAACCCGCCGCGCCAACAATCCCGAGCCCCACCGACCAACCAGCCGCGCCAGCAATCCCGAGCACCACCGGCCAACCCGCCGCGCCAACAATCCCGAGCCCCACCGACCAACCAGCCGCGCCAGCAATCCCGAGCACCACCGGCCAACCCGCCGCGCCAACAATCCCGAGCCCCACCGACCAACCAGCCGCGCCAGCAATCCCGAGCACCACCGGCCAACCCGCCGCGCCAACAATCCCGAGCCCCACCGACCAACCAGCCGCGCCAGCAATCCCGAGCACCACCGGCCAACCCGCCGCGCCAACAATCCCGAGCCCCACCGACCAACCAGCCGCGCCAGCAATCCCGAGCACCACCGGCCAACCCGCCGCGCCAACAATCCCGAGCCCCACCGACCAACCAGCCGCGCCAGCAATCCCGAGCACCACCGGCCAACCCGCCGCGCCAACAATCCCGAGCCCCACCGACCAACCAGCCGCGCCAGCAATCCCGAGCACCACCGGCCAACCCGCCGCGCCAACAATCCCGAGCCCCACCGACCAACCAGCCGCGCCAGCAATCCCGAGCACCACCGGCCAACCCGCCGCGCCAACAATCCCGAGCCCCACCGACCAACCAGCCGCGTCAACAATCCCAAGCACCACCGACCAGTCCATCCAAAAACCCCAAACGCACCAACCAGTCCATCCAACAATCCTGAGCGACACTGACCGTCTGCTGTCCATAGACAATGAAATGGCGACATTTGCTGGAACATGATACCAAATTACAACTAAACGCACCATTCCCTGCACTGAGACTATTGCCCGATATACGGGACGTGGGATGAAAACGCACCGTTATCCAACCAAGAATCATCATGAACCAGATTTGCATCATAACGAATCACCTTCACCGCGGCGGCTCTCCGCCCATCGCACCAAACAGCGGCCATGGCCATATTATCGTCTGACCTTCCCAAGGTGCCCCCCGGGGGACTCCTCCCAATTAGACCCCCAGTAACATCCAAGATAGACACAGAGAACGTTAATTACAATGACATGATCACACTGATGCGACTCTTCATGAGGGGGGTCCATCCACCACAAGACCCCAAACCAGGCAGAGGGCGGGCGGTAGGAGACGAGCACAGAGCGCACGTTGCGGAACTCCCGACACATTATAACGGCAATAAACGGCATTGCGGTGATTTTATAGATTTGTATTCACTTCCTGTCCCGGGATCTATGAACATTGACCCCCCGATGAGCGCCAACTGAGGGCAAATGTTTCAGGATCAGACCCCAAAACGTCACTTCTTGGGGGTACATACAGTTTTAGGGTGCTTTTTTTGCAGACTCCAGGTGCGGTGAAAACTACAAATCGCATAAGACACTGCAAGACTCAACCACAGGCGATGGGATTTGTAGTTTCACCACAGCTGGAGGGCGGAAGTTTGGCTGCCTCTGCCATAGACAGACCTCCAATGGACGCCTGGATTCCGCAGACAATAAAACTCGCAGATCGGTCAATATTTGCAGAAAGCGCTCATCCACCTGCAGAGCCATCTAGATGTATAGAGGGCCCCCCCCCACCCCGGGGCCACCTGTATAAACAGCACACACGGGGGAGGGGAGGGGGATTCCACCAGACCGGCCAAGTGACAGTTTATTGTGAAAAATCCTCTAATAGTGAACAAGCCAGAATCACCGTCCGCCGTAATATACCCCCTACCAGGGGCGGGCACCCAACAGCAGTGACACTACAAGTCCCATCATGCCTCTAGGAGTCCTGTCTGCGGCTCAGTCTTGCGATGCTTCTTGGGACTTGTAGTTCCACAACAGCTGGAGGTTGCTGGCTCAGCTCTGACCCGTCACTAACCAAACTCAGTGTCAGCCGAGATTTCCATCAGTAAGAACAATCCCCGTGTGTGGCGAGGAGCCGAAATTCATGTCAGGTGACGGTTGGAAGGAAAACAAATCCGAGGCGGAGCCATGAGGAGCGGAAAACAGAAATCACAATCCACGGAACATTCCGGAGGATCCCGACCACAAATCTCCGACATCTACCAATAAACCGGAAGATACCCCCAAATCCTGCCGACCCCGAGAATACAACCGTGTCATAGGTCACAGGTGACACCACCCCCGCAGACACGCCCACCATTCCACAGGCAAGCGACCCCGCCAGCAGGCGACCCCACCACAC